ATTTTCGCTTAGATATAATTAGCATGGAAAACAATTGATTTATTCATCACATATTAATGATTGTGATATCTTTTGAGTTTATGAATAATTATCTCCAACCATAGTAAGCTAGTTTTGTCAATTTATTTTGTTCTCTTGTTTTTAGCTTTGTTGCTTGAGGACAAGCAATGGTTTAAGTTTGGGGAATTTTGATAGGTGTCATTTTTACAGTATTTTTAGTATAATTTTTATTTCGAATTTTAGTAAATTTTATCACTTTAATTAATTTTTACTTTGTTTTAATTATAATTTTGTTCAAATCTTACTTGAATCATAATCCACTTGATCTTTAAGAAATTTGCAGGGTTTTGGCACAGAAAAGAGCATTACAAAGCAAAACACTCAGGCTTTAGCACACCCAACCCGTGCACCTTGGCACGCCCGTGCTGAACCTAAGAAAAATCAAGTGGAGAGTCAAACTCTAGCATGGCTAAGCCGTGCTATCTGGCATGCTCGTGCCTAAAAAGAACCTTAGGGCGTGCTTGCCTAACATGCCCGTGATGAAATCTATCTTGGAAGGTCAGAGCCTACCATGCCCTGCCCGTGCTAGGGTGCACGCCCATGCCACAAAAACTCCTCTGAGCGTGTTGCAGAGCACGGCCCGTGCTAAATCACTCAGAGATCTAGATTCTAGCACGCCCAAGCCGTGCTATTTGGCACGCCCGTGCTACGAAGGCGAAGCTGTCTTGAATAAAAACGCAAGCCAATCTTTTTAACTCACATGGGCCCACCTCAGATAGGGCACGCCCGCGCTACGAAAGTGCGAAGTTTGTCTGAATAAAAACGCAAAGCCAGTCTTTTTAACTCACATGGGCCCACCTCAGATATTTTCCTAAAACGGTGCAAAACAAGATCTAAAACCTATTTAGGAAGAGAAGAAAGAGTCCTACTAAGAAGAAAATCCAAGGCCTAATCAGTTATGATCTCCAAAGAGATTTTCGTACTTAATTAAAGGATTCTATTTCCTAAACGAAGTCAGCATTTTTCTCCCAGGAGATCATATATAAAGAGATTGACCATTCATTGGAAAGATATCTCGAGTTCTGGTATTTTTTCTACATTTAGTTCTCTCTCTCTCAAAGATTTCAAGTGTCCAAGATTTTGCCAAGATTCAAGGAAGCCAATCCACATAGTTGGTTGTCTAGTTTTTATTTCTAAACTCTTAATCGTTGTCTTTCTTCATTATTCATATTGATTATGAAATTTTTAATTCAAAGTTATTACTGAGTTTTATTTAAATTACCTTATGTCGAACTTAAACTCTCATTTCCTAGGGATTTGATGTAAAGCTTAATTCGATTCCAATTTTATAATATTAGATTTGTTTTCCTTGTTCATGATATAATTTTATTATTGAACTTAATGCTTCCAGGGCAGAGTTTCTCCCCTTGATTGAATTTTATTCATTTAATCACTATCGGAATGAAGGGTTTTTGATATTTAAAAAGGTTAATTAAATTACATGAGAGTAATAACTTTCGATGCGGAAGCTATATGTTTGACTTCATGGGGGGTTTTTCATAAGTTAATGACCTTAGGTTAAATGAATTTCACAAAACAAACCATAAAACTTTAATGATTTAATTCATGTCCTGATTCACTATTGAAAGATAGGATAATTTATATCGGATTTAAGAATAAGCTTAACAATACATCGGGAGAGGCGTTTAGTTGATTTCTAGCGATTGTTTCCCCTAACTTGAACAAATTTAAAATTGATTATCAAATTAATTAAAATAAATTGGCATAGAATTAAGTGATCCAATATTCCGCTAGTAGTTTTAAATTCCTGATTTCTTTCATCTATAATTATGTTGCTTGATTCTTTCTGTTTTATTTTAGAATTTACTTTTTCTTATAACAAATCTCTTTTTAATTGTCGAAATAATAATAGGTTAACATAATTTTGGTACTTGATATACAATTCTTGTGGATACAATACTCTCTCACTCTATATTACTTGTTGCGATTTCGTACACTTTCGAAAAGTACTGTCATTCCACTTATGTAACTATATATATGTTGCTTCTTATCAATAATAAACACACCGCATATTTTCTCTCATATTTTGCTCTCTGTTCCTTCTTTTTCTCTTCCCTAATTTTATATTATAATTGTAGAAAAATCCTTTTTTTAGTAGAGATTGTTGTTCCCGGTTACAATATTACCCTCTGTAGAACCAATAGTAGCCTACCCCTAAAGACTAGAAAGTAGTTGCTATTTTCAACATAAATTGTATAATTATTTTTATAAATTATTATGTATCATATGTGTGTATAATTTTATTTTTTAAAGTAAATGCATTATTTTACATTTTAATGTGTTATATTTATAAAAATTATTAGTTAATTTTTTATAATAATATTTAATAGTTATTTATTATTTTAAAATAATTAATCTTTTCGAATGTGAATTGCATGTTATTCGTACTTGTAGATTTTTACTCGATGCAAGAATCTAATATATATTTCTATTTTTTATATAAATTTATAATATTATGAATAGTTTATATTACTAAAATCTAAGAGCATTCAAAAAAAAAATCTATTTTATGAAACAATAAATAAAAAAATAACAAATAATATTATGAATAGTTTATATTACTAAAATCTAAGAGCATTCAAAAAAAAATCTATTTTATGAAACAATAAAATAAAAAAATAACAAATTTTTTTGAAGTGAGGATAAGCTGTTATTATGTTTTAAATTTATATTATAGATAGATAGCTATTATAATAATTAATATAATAATTATTTTCTTAGAGCATCATTTTATAATTTTGATATTTTTCTTTTTTTTTTACTTTTTAGTAAAGTCTATGAGAATATAATTAATTTTTCGGTTGTTGTTTTTGAAGAAAAAAAATTTCTTTCAACATGTTATATCATGGTTTTATATTTTATATATATTTCTAGTAAGTTTTATTAGAAATTGAAATTCAGAGAGAGCAAAATATAATTTTTTTTTTATATTTTAAAGAGGTGAAATAGATAATTTTTCAAATTTCAATAATATATTTTTTCATTAATTATTTATTTTTTAAAAACTATGGGGACGATGGTTCCTATACAATTGGTAGTTTTGCATTTACATGCCAAATTTTGAACGGGTTTAATTCCATTATCACAAGTTGTGGAAATTGAGTATGGCTAGCAGTCAAAAGATGCTATAATAATTATCTGAAATGTGTTTTTTTTTTAAGAACGGTACATGATTAGTGGAATCACAACTAAAGCAATACTTCCATTTGTCAAAGTCTTGAACATAGTTAAAATTGAACATTACCTACTTTGAACAGGAAAAGGATAAAAGGAAGTTTATTTTTTTAGTTTTTAATAAAATATTATATATATTTTAAATTCTTTTCATTTGAGAAAAATATTTTAAATTCTATTATATAGGACGTCAGAGAAGGGCATGACTATATGTGGCGAGACTCCCCAACTAATGAAATATAATTAAAAATAATGAAAATGTACTAAACCTTAGATCTTAAACTTTAAATTTTGAACTCTAAATTCTGAAATGGTATATCCTAAATTTTAAAACCTTAGGATCTGTTCAGCATAATTAGAGTATTTAACTGTTAGCTATTTGAATAGATTTTCATAAAATTTTAAAAGTTAAATGTGAGTTAACTTTTTATAAAATGTTACTTTCAACAACTATGTTACCGAGAATTATAAAAAATAGTGTTTATAATGTTTAAAAACACTAAAAACTACTTAAAATGCTGTTGATGAACACAATGTTGATAGTACTTAATGAAACTCTAAATCACAAAAATTAAATCCTAAACTCTAAAACGGTAAATATTAAGAACTTAAACACTAAACTTTAAAATCTTAAATTAAATTTAAATGTTCAAAAAAATCTTAAAATCTAAATTCTAAATTTAAAACCCCTCAAAAAATCTTAAAATTTAATTTTATATTATTTTTAAGGGTGTCCTGTCGTGTCGTAATTACGGCAGTTTAAATTTTTCCGCGAGGAAAACCTGAGCTAATATACACACATATGTATATGTTTTTAGTTTCACCGTGGACAACAAGTTGAGCTTCGTGTACAGCACACAAACATATGTATAGTTATATAGTTGCTCGAGGCTTCACATTAAACAAAAAAACAAAAAAATACAAAAAATTTCCTCTTATGTAAATTTTTTTGCTAAATTTATTGATAATAATTTCAGTTCAACAGTTTCTTTAACTTTTGTTTTGTCCCAAGTTCCATTGTTTAAGGAGTTGATAGTAAAGCCCAATGGAAGAAATTTTTTTACATGAACAATCTGCTTTTGGGAATTTACATTTGATCCTCTCTTTTGCTTGAATAAAAATTTTAAATATAAGTAGACAGTTTTAGATTGTGTTTAATTATTTTCCTATCATGTTTTGAACATATATGTTATTATATTTTCATTATTTTTTTTTAGTATTGAAGGAGTAGATTCAAATTTGAATCTATTGTCAATTTATATATACATTTACTACTAGGTTATACTTGAGTGTGCTTTTCATTATCTTTTAATTTCTGGGGAGTAAAAAATATTTTTTCAAATTTTGAGAAAGCAAAATGGTCATTGTTGAAATTTGGAAAATTAGTTTTTTTTTTTTTGTTACGAAAGTATCTTTTGAGAAAACTTAGGGGACAATTCGTAGTTCTGCAATTTTGGTGATCAATTTAAGGAATAGAATTATAACTTCCAAAAAAGAGGATCAACTACCCACTTTATTTTATTTGGTTCTAAGAAATTATTTTATGTTTACCCTCTTTTTGTACCAAATTGCTAGTAGTCAAAATATGGCATAATTATCTAAAAAGCAACAGAAAATGGAATCAGGAAAGCAATATTATAAGAGTCAATAGTCTATAGACAAAAAAAATAATTAGTGGAATAAAAACGAAACCATTAATTCCATTTGCCAAAGTTTTTTAACATAATAAATAAATACTTATATTTTAAGGATTGGATGCCTCTGCTTAACTCTTTTGTGTTGCTCTTTTTACTTGGTAAAGGTCTATATAAACTACCTATCTACCTACTAAAACACACACATTGAATAGAAGATGGAGTTCATTGTTATTCCCTTTGCCATCCTCCTCACCATCGCTCTTTCAATCATCTTCTACAAACACAAAATGGGCATTAAGAATCTCCCTCCTGGAAGCACCGGTTGGCCGCTCATCGGTGAAAGCATAGAATTTTTGACCCCTTAGGTTTTCCTCCTATCCCTACTTACCATACACTATCACTAATTGCTTGAGAGTAGTAAGATGTAGTTTCATTGTTATTTCTCACTTTAGCCAATCCCTCATCCTCTATCATCGCTTTTTCATGGATCTAACTCTACATTCTTACATTACATTATCTCCACCTATAGAAATCCTTGTGAGGCATTACAATGAAATTTTCTCCCGATCCTGGACAAGACATCCGCGTTTTGGCTCTGTCCGTCTTCATCTCGTGTGAAAGTCATTAGAATTTCCGACTCCAACCAAGCGTCAGACTTAAGGGTCTTCTAGCCTTGCAGATAGAAATTCTAATATAGGTCGACTCGAATATGGTGAAGTTTCGGTCCAAACAAAGTCTTCAAAGACTTCATTGTTCTGCGAACCAGCGGCTGTGTTTTTTGGAGCAGCGGGACATACAAGTTCTTGTTTCTCCAATGAGAACAAACTTGTTTGACTCCGCGCTAAATGTGATGTGTCCTTATCTTTCTGCCTGAAAACACAAATATATCTTCTCCTTCTTCTCTACTCAACATGTGACATTCCACGTGTCTTCAGGATACGTGGAATCCAGAGAATGAGCAATAGTTCATTACTTTCCACGACAACCTTCTCTAAAAGCCATGATTGTAAGCGACGTTTCAGATGATTATCTATTTGAAAAAAATATGAGATGTTAAGTTAGCTCAAAGTACATTTCGGCTATATTCGACTTGGTGATTAACAAAACATGCAAGTGATCTGTTTATTCTCCTTCTGGCTAAAGATGCGCCCATATTACACTTCATCTATATAGCTTGTTAGAGCTTTTTTACATAAATGCATGGTAAAGATTAAGGAAGCTAAGATTTTGACCAGTAGTGAAAAGTTCGCGCAAGCCATTTGACGTTTTGGCCCATCAGCCCAACTTAATAAAGCTCTATATATTACCATATTTACGATTATATTCTTATGGATTCCATTACAACAGAGGGTGATTCATAAACATCAAATTTGGTAAGAAAAGAGTTGTTAAAGATTATTAAAGCATAGCGCCAAAGAATGATCTTAGACGGCGGAAAACAAGGCATCCCAGACACAAGATATTATTGTCTTCACATGCTAACCACGCAGATGACAGAGGGGCAAGCCTCTCATAGTTGAGTGGAAATTGAATAAATAGCAGATAAAAATTCTTGCAATGCTTTATCTCGGGATAAGGCCACTCGACAAGCTCCCAGTGACAGTGCTATCACTTTCTTTTGTCAAGTATATCTGGCGAATAGCAGATAAAATTCTTGGATTGCTTATCGGAGGCCACGACACTGCCAGTGCTGCTATCACTTTTGTTGTCAAGTATCTGGCGGAGATGCCTCAAGTATACGAGAAGGTCTTTGAGGGTAAGTAATGGATTAATATTATTATTAATTACATTCCCAGTTTTCTTTTTTATTTTTCTTAATTCGATATGTATAACTTTCAGAACAAATGAGGATCGCAAAAGCAAAAGTAGCAGGAGAGCTGTTGAACTGGGAAGACATACAAAAGATGAAATATTCATGGAACGTAGCATGTGAAGTGATGAGACTTGCACCTCCTCTGCAAGGAGCCTTCAGGGAGGCCATCACAGACTTCACATATGCTGATTATACCATTCCAAAGGGATGGAAGCTTTATTGGAGTGCCAATTCCACACATAGAAACCCTGAATGTTTCCATGACCCTGAAAAATTCGACCCATCAAGGTTCGATGGGAATGGACCTGCCCCTTACACATTCGTTCCTTTTGGAGGAGGCCCCAGGATGTGCCCTGGTAAAGAATATGCTCGATTGGAAAGATGAAAAATTCGACCCATCAAGGTTCGATGGGAATGGACCTGCCCCTTACACATTCGTTCCTTTTGGAGGAGGCCCCAGGATGTGCCCTGGTAAAGAATATGCTCGATTGGAAATTCTGATTTTCATGCACAACATCGTCAAAAAATTCAAATGGGAGAAGTTGCTTCCTCAAGAGAACATTATTGTCGATCCTCTTCCAATCCCTGCTAAAGGCCTTCCCATTGTTCTCCATCCCCACGGACACTAATCATCTCGTTCCTCCATTTCTTATTCTGTATTCTCTATTTCTGTTATTTATTTCAATCCATGGAACTTCATTGTTTCTCCTAATTATTTTCTCTATTTTTACCTTTTAATTCCCTTTTATTTGAAAGAAATCAATAAAAAAAAACATATTTACTTGGATCAACTATATATTCAAACCAATTGGGTATTAGTAGTGGTTTTAGGTAGGTAGGCTTTATAAGAAAAAAAAAAAATGTGTGATTATTTTTTGTGTTGTTGTATTTACTTTCATGATGGACAAAAGGAAAACTGAAAACATACAACAGAAGAGAAACTCCATTAAACATCAAAGAGAAATAGCATAGAAGAAAAGGAACAAGCAAGTGTAATAAGGGTAACACTTTGCGAATCTCAAAATTCAGGGAAAAGTATAGTAGAATCCGTGTAGATTGTGAAATACAACTAATCCGTCACTGTCTTTTTTGAAATAAACTAAAACAGCCTTGTAGTTTACTTTTATCAGACTATAAAGTCCTTCTATCTAATTTTTTGATTTTTTCCGTTAAGTATCTTATGAAATGATGAAAATATTCCTTTTATTTTTTAAACACAAAGGACGGACTAGTTATATTTTTCAAACTATAGGGACAGTACTGTAATTTTTTTGGTATAATATGTTAGTATCTCTCCTTTAACCTTTATGTTTTCTTGTTAACTCAACGGAAAGGTGCACAAAGTGTACAGAAGGGCCTAGTAGTATAACGAAAGCAAAACATAGACAAATTAGTATGTTTTAAAAAAAACAAGGATGAACTAGTGTATTTCGCAAATTACAGGAATTGTAATGTAATTTTCTCCAAAATTTATGTGACTTCTTTTGAATATAAATAACTCCTCATCATACTATTTCTTTTTTGTGAACATTAATGAGAAATTTATATTTGAATTTTTCTCAATTTTAGCTTTACGTCCATAAAAATAATATTATGAAAATATATTATTCACCGATTTATTTCTCTTTCTTACCTTAAATTTAATACTGACAATAATAATGATTAATTAACTGTAATAAAGAATAAAACAATCACTAATCTGATTTTTAAAATGGAAGGTTATACTATATGCACGTCAAGTGAAATCAAATTGAGTTTTGTTGTATACAAGAATATATCTCCTCCTAGTCTTTTTCTTTTTTTTTAAAATTGATTGAAAACACAAATTTTTATAAGCTATTTTCCATCACAAAGAAATTATCAGTATATGGTCTAACTCTCCCCCTAGAGAGTTGCTATGGATGCATTAGTATAATTTTCAAAATCCGAGGTAATTTAATTGGTATTATGACGTATATTTTGACAATTACTCATACAATTTTCTTCAAATTTTCATTCCAAGTCGTGTAAACCACATATACATATATATTGCCATCAATTTTGAAAATACAATGCGTGGATAGAAAAGTTGGAAGCTGAGAAGGATAAAACTATAATTGATTGGCTGCAATTGGTATGTTCTTGTAACCAGAAAATGAAAATTGGCAGTTTGGCTGTGTTTGTATCGCCAACTTAACACCCAAAATGAAAGGATTGATGAGTGGTGACCAAAATATATTTTGACTTGTATCATCAACCATCCTTTTCCTTGTGTTCGTCGATTACGTTGACTCATTGATATTGGTATATCGTTTGAATGGTACTATGCAAAGTTTTTTCTATGTCATATATTAAATTCAATTCTACAATTATGCATGCCAAAATTAGTGAGTGAGAATAGTATTCATTCTGTCCATAAATATATATAATTCATTTAAGATTATGTTTTTTTTTTTTTTTTGGAAAAGATTCATTTAAGATTGTTGTTTGATAATTAAGAAAGTAATTAATTCCCTTAAATTATAATTAAATGTTTATTTTTTTATCTCATATAGACAAAGTAAAATCAGAAAAATTTTATTAATTACTTATACATATCCTCAAAATGATATATACTTACAGATAAAATAATTATTTTAAAATGGCTTATATTTTTGGACAAAAAAGAGTAAATAAATTATTTTCAAAAATAATAAATTAGACTAGCATCCCTCAATTAATAAATGCATTTTAAAAAAATAAAAAGAGAGATTATTAGACAATCACTTTACACGTTGATTGTAGAGAGCATTTCTCTTCATACATATGTATATATCAAACTGAAAACTAAAGGTAGTGTGTCTATCACTTCCAAATCATTTGCCAACTTCGTTTAGTTCTCTAACCTGTGTTATTTGAGATAATTATTGAAATTTTCCTAAATAAGTATGTATTTATTTCTATGATTAAGCTGTGAATATAAGACTTAGCAACCCTTCTCTACTTAAGCTAGCTTTTGGAGAGCGAGTTAAGCCTAATCCATCTTATTAACACAGCCCAAAACTGTTCAAAAATGTTATGTCCACACAGACTAAAACATTTGCAAGCCAGACTGAGGATCACACATAGAAAGACACCTGATTCGTACTTTTTGATGAGCGTTATAATTTGTGTTGGATACTTAATATTGATGAAAATTGGTTGTAATTTATTGACGTTCACTGGACCTGTAGAGCTTAATGTGCAAGTTTGAAATGAACTGACCTAATTTTTTTTTTTCCACCAAACATCCATTTTTCATTATTGTGAGTTAAAACGTTTTTCTTAATTTTTTTCCCCGCAAATATCAAATTTTCAATATTGTCTGCTAAAAAAATTTTCTTAATTTTTGTTCCACCAGTCTAGAAATGTGCATCCATTACTAAATGACATCGGATCGTCTTTAGCTAGGAGATGGGAGAAGAAAAATGGTAGATTTCTCTTTCTCTTTTTCATTTTGGATTTTTATGTACCTTTTTTTTTTTTCTTGCTATCATGCAAATTTCAATCTCTAGAAGGGAATTGAGGTTTCTACATGATACATTATTATTGGATTTATTAATTTCTTGCTGCGAGTGAATTGGATTTTCCATTTAGACTTGGTTTGTTTTCGGAAAATAACTTACCTTTGATAAATATTTTCTAAACAATTTATTTTTCATCGTTTGATGTCAATATTGAAAATTAGTTAAAAATATTAAAATTTCATATTTTAAAAAGTTTATTATTAAATAACTACACGATCAATATATTTAATTTTATTGAAATAGTATTCTACTTAATTATGGATTATATCTTTCTTTAGCTTAGGGTATTAATTTGTTTTTCTAAGATATTGTTTAAGAGGATTTCTAATAATTTCATCCTCCATTTTTTATGTTTTAGGGTATTAGATTTGATTCATGTAAATCACATAAAATCATAGCATTTGGGTGTGGCGATGGGTTGTAATGGCTATCTGTGGGTTTAATCTTTTACTAAGATTTAAACCGAGACTTTTAATTAGGCTATGTTTAGTAAGATGCAATGAAGTGTAACTACTTAAATTTATTTATAGATAAGGCATCACATCTTCTGGCTTGGATATAAGTACCCATTGCGCTTGCAAATTCTTTACCTCGAGTAATCTAGTTTTGGGTCTCATCTGGCAAAGGCTTAGTAAATGGTTGAAATTAATAAGCTAAACTAGGCTTCACTTGGTTTCTGGTTCTCATTTCAAATTATAGCTAGCTTTTCTTTTTTATTTTTATTGATTCGAATTATATTTTTTCTTATCTCAAGAGATCCTATCCGCTGAATTCTTAAAATAAAAAATTTATAGCTATTTATTTTATGAATTTTATAGCTATTAGCAAAAAAAATTTTTTGCTATTGTACTTTTGAGGTTGCTCCAAATTTTTCTACTTAACATTCACGGGTTAGGTTTGATTTTTTTGGGTTAGACTGATGGCTTAGATGTAGTTGCCGATGTTTATTAAGATTTTATAGCTATTTATTTTATGAATTTTATAGCTATTAGCAAAAAATTTTTTTGCTATTGTACTTTTGAGGTTGCTCCAAATTTTTCTACTTAATATTCACCGGTTAGGTTTGATTTTTTTGGATTAAACTGATGGCTTAGATGTAGTTGCCTATGTTTATTAAGTTTTTATAGCTATTTATTTTATGAATTTTATAGCTATTAGCAAAAAATTTTTTTGCTATTGTACTTTTGAGGTTGCTCCAAATTTTTCTACTTAACATTCACGGGTTAAGTTTGATTTTTTTGGGTTAGACTGATGGCTTAGATGTAGTTGCCTATGTTTATTAAGTTTTTTCTTGGATAATATAATAACAATAATTATTATCTTTTTTGTTGATAAAAAAAATTTATAGTGTAATGAAATGTAACTAAAGTTCAATAGGTTTTACTTGATAAGATGTAATACAATGTAATTAAATTCATTTATCGTATAATTAGCAACTCGACATTTTCTCTAGCCTTTTATTCTCTTTCCTTTACATGCTTAAAGCTTAAATAAAGTAGTAATTTGACTTTAATCCACACGAATTATAAAAAAGAGTATAATTTGACCAACAAGGTATTGGTTGAACTAATTAGCGACCTTAATTCCATTTGATATCTGGGAAGCGCATTTTGCTGGGAGTGTCAAAAATCTTTACTCTCTACGATTCGAGGGAATTAAACTTCCTAGTTATAAAAAAAAAATTGATAAGAAAAGAAAGAAAACTAAGAACAAAGAATGTTTTTTTGTATTACTTTTATTTTTAATTAGTTTTTGGTTTTTATTTTTCTTTGTGGAAGTTGGTTTGTTGGAAATGGGTCAATAAAACAAAAGAAAATGGCTTATTTTTTGTTTTTCTTATTACTCTATTTTTCTTCTCAAAAACACAAAACAATAAAAACCAAATATACTGTAGTAATATATAGATATTAATCTGTATTATAAATCCCTCTTTGCTCTTAATCTAAAATTAAATTGAAGTGACCTACATTGGCGAAGGAGGCAATATTGGTAGCTGATCATATTGGCCGCTGGTGGTCCGTTTAGTATGTGCAAACTATATTCAGTTGTAACCATTATTTAACTACCCAGTTGCTTTGGATATATGCCCACTGACACAAGTAATTAAATATATTTATTTATTGATTTTAGTAGTTGGGATTTAAAAGGAAAAATAGAGAAAATAGATAAGGACAAAACGATGAAGTTTGATGGATTGAAATAAATAACAAAAATAGAGTATACAAAATAAAAAATGGAGGATCGAGATGATTAATGTGCGTGGGGAT